GGTGTGCCCTCCGGACGTGCCCCACGAGGGCCGTCTCTTACCCCGGTTACCGAGGGGCCCAGCAGTCGCACACTGAGGTCTCTTGCCTGGCATAACCAGAGGGTCACTTCCACACCGGTTTGGGACCCGAGTGACTTGATTTCATGAGTAACTCCCGGCTCCGATGGGGTGGACTCACAGAGGTTACCTGAGAATTGTTACAGCCGGTTGCAGTAGCGTGAGGTTAGGTCTGACCTGCACAGAATACGAAGGCAGTCAAAGGATTAGCTCAGCAGTGTTAAACTGCTGGCACAGAACGACTAGCAGGGAGCAGGCCACGGACAGGCCTTGTTCACCACTGTAGACCTGGAGCAGTTCTTTTTGGGTCAGCGTTGCTTTGGCTGCTCACCACAGAGCAGAGAATCCGGCCCTGGAGCTTATGCTCTGGTGCCCTCCAAAGCGCAGACGGTCTTGCAGGTGGGTTAACCATGGGAGGCCACTCGTCAGGTCTTACCCAGCAGCGAAATGGAAGGAAACACCCCAAAAGTGTGGGGAGCAGTCAGATTTTTTCCTAGGAGGGTTTCCTGGTCTGTGCCGTAACCTGTGCCTCATTATGAAGTGTGCTGTCGGACAGACTGGGTGTTTGTTGGATTCATTGCTGTGATAAGGCAGCCAGGACAAAAAATAAGGCCTTTTCCGCTCACGGTTGGGTGTTCCCCAGTGACTGGATCTGGTGTTTGTGCGGGGGGTGCTGGAGTGGTTTTACAGTCCTGCTGTCCTCAGAGGAGCTTTTGAAAGACCGCTCAGTATCTCTGGTACAGCCTAGTGTGAGGCCGAGACTGTGTTTTCCCATACCAAAGCTCAGCTGATTTCTTTTGGGTCTGGTTTTCACATAACTTTTGTTTGAAAATAGGAATGTTTTAATATTTAATGTTTTTTTCTGATCCAAGGGTAGTTAACAAGGAAGTGTTGATCATGTTATGGAAGTCCCTCTGCACTTGTAGTGAGATGCAGTGCTTGGAATGAGAGGTCCACAAAGGCTCCCTTTCTGAGAAACCACGTAGAAATGGGTCTGTTTCACAAGGAGTCACCTGGCAGCATGCTTTTCCTGAATGAACCCTCCTGCTAGACTCATTTTTTTCTCCACATGGTTTAGGAGTCATTGAGTCTGTGCAAAAATGCAAAGAAGACTCCAGTTCTGAGGATGTCAGTTGCCATGGCAACGCTCTTTCCCACGGATTTTGGTCCTGTCGAAAGTGTGCTCTTTTTCTAAGGCGGTCTGGGAGTTGTGTGGTCCTCAGGGATGTTAGTGGCAGAATTACTGGGAATCTTTCCCCTTACCAGATTGATCTAACACTTTCCTAAAAGACACAGCTGCTCGTTGCCAGCTCTGGCCGCTGTTTCGCATGCATCACAGATGATTCGGGGGAATTTTTTGGGAACAGTCCACAGATGTCACATCTTGGCAGGGAAATATAAGAAGAGAGAAATATGAGTTTAGGGAGCTAAATATGAACTGTGCTTTCTAAGCATGTAGAGATAGCTCTTTAAAACCCTAAATTATAACAGAGGAAATGTAACATCTATGACAGAAAGCTATTTGGGGGAAAGAAAGGGGAAAAAAAAGCAAAGAGCTTGTTTGTGCTTTACTGCCTTGCCAAGTTTTGGTTCAGGGTGAAGTGTTCCTCTTGCCCACGCCGCTCCTCGCAGGTTCCTCACACCACACAAGAAAACATCGTGGTGCTGTGTGGGACGTGATCTTTGTGGCAGAGGAGCAGACCCCAGGAATCAGATCCTGGGTTTAGCTGGCCCATGTGCGGTCAGATGCTGTGCCTTGTGCTCCTTTTGTAAACTGCGAGTAGCCTTAGTAGTGTCCTGAATCATCTCTGGTGTTTTCCAGAGGTCACAATCTACCGGTACCTTTCTTCCTCAGATGTAATTGGTTGGGTTCCTCCTTAGAGTAAACCTGGCGATCCTTGGAAATACAAGAAACTGTAATCGTTGCTTGTTTTTTTCCTAAGCTTTAACGTCCTAGATCTTTCACAGACAGGAAAGAAACGATGGGCTCTGTTTCAGGGACACTGAACCTGCCCCTGCAAAGGGAGCTGAGTGGAGTGGTTCTGAACATCACCACGTTCATAAGCTGGGGTTAGCTCTGCTGGGTGGGCCGCCAGTAGCAGAGTGTTCCCGCCAGGCTGGTGGGGAGGGACCCTCGGGGGGTGGGCACCAGTGGCCCGTGCTGCTGGTGAAAGAGGGGGCAGCAAGCTGCGCACGTCCCTGTCTGCAAAACTGCTTTGGGGGCGAGAAGCTCTTTTTTTTTTTTTTTTTTTTTTTTTTTTTTGTGTTTCTCTGGGACGGTGGTGACTCCTCTACACGGTGCGAAGGTTCCAGGATTGGTGGCTTTAGAGCCGGAGGTACCTCCCGTCTGCTGAATCCTTCAGCTGAGCTCCTGGGCTGGGCGGTGAACCAGCCTCGTGAGAGTGCGAGGGACTGCGAGGAGGCCTTGTTTAGTTGATTTCTGAGTAACTGGAATCATGTAGTCACGCTGGAAAATTGAACCTGCACAAAGTGTTTTTGCTAATATTAACTTTAGTTCCATCTCAGCTCAATGGAGGGAAAAACTAGAAAGTGCCATAAATTCAACCGAGCTTGTCAAAGCTGTCAAATTACCACCTGATAAAGCTCCTACCTCCTAATGATTACAGCCATCAGCCAGAGAGGAAATGTATGCCGATGGGGCTTTCGAGTGACAGCACCAGGGTTCAACATTGTTAGACTTTTAATGTAGTGTCATCTGGGGGCTCTTTGGCTTCAGTGGAGGGTGAAGCTCTGAGCAGAGTTATTTCTTTAAGAAAAAAAAAAATCAAAAAAATCCAAGGATGTAGACTAGCATACTACCTCTCTTATCAGCCAGATTAATGCTGACTACTAAATTTTAGTAAAGGTCTTCTTTGATCCCATTTGTTAGTATTAGGAGTCCATAGAGATAATGTCTTTTCACGTATAAAAGATGCTATTGATTTTCTGTTACTGTTGTCCTGAAATGTGCACAGTGTGTCTATGGAGCGGTGACAATCCTCCATCACTAGCTTTATGGGAAAAGAATGGTTATTGAATCTCTTCCCATAAAATATAATCTCTTTCTCTCTCCCAGAATTTGCCAGCCCCTGTGGGAGTCCCTCATGTTATCTCTTTGAGAAAATTGATTTTTTTTGTCTCCGCTTTGTACGCTTGTGTTTAGTTTTATTTTTAATTTGGCTCGTGCTATGAAATGAAGGCTTCCCTAACATTAAGCGTGCTTTCTCCATGTTGTATTGCTTCTTTTTCATATAGATTTTAACACTTTCCGAGTGTTGTAAAATAAAATAAAGATATCTGCTTGGTGCAAGTCTCTCTTGTTGTTGCTGGGGATTTTTTTGCTCTGGGTGAGTCACTGCCCTGCTCTTTCTTTCCAGGCAGCTCTGAGATACTGACAGCTTTTCAGCTGCTTACAGGTAAATTCAGGGTAAGTTTCTAGAGTCAACACAGGCTGATTGATTTCGGATGAATGACTTTAGCGGAGAACACAACTTGCAGTACTGTCTGCTCAAGGAGCAGTGGTCTTTGAACTTGAACAATGGCAAAAATACTCTGTCAAATTTGTCCTTTCCTCTGTGTAGCAAATGACTGACTATGGGACTTTTTCCTTTCAGGGAGGAAACGGCAACATGAATTCATAGATGATGAGTAGGATGCCAAAGCCAGAGATGACAGTGCTCTTGAAGAAATGCTGGGTAGAACAAAAAGGTAAAAGGAACAGCTAATCGAGTGCATTTTGGAGCCCGTGGGACTTCATGTGGTACCTCCCCTCATGAGGCCAATGGCACACCCCCTCAAACCGTAGCTGAGTTTTCTGAATTCCCTCTTCCTCCATTTTGCATGAAGTCCCAGTGATGCCTCAGTCCTGACCTACTCTTGCTGTGCTTAGGCCTTCCCCAAAGCTGCATCGGTCTGTGCCCAAACCCCCATGAGACTTGCACTTTCAGATGTGTCCTTGCATGCACACGCCCGCGGGCCCCGCGGCCGCCTCGCCCACCCCACAGCTCCCACTGCCAGGTTAGTCTAGAGTCGTACCAGGTTGTCTGCCGCCGTGGTTTGTGATGAGAACGAAAAGAGAAATAAGAGATGAACTCAGCCGGTTAATTTGCAGCCAGTGCCATTCTCCTGAGGTGACGGTTCGGTGCAGCCACTGCCTGTTCCGTCTTCTGACTTAAGCTGGGGCAGATACACACGGTTAAAATGTTTGGAATGCTTTGCAAACAGGTTGCCTCCACGAGGACTAAATTGCTTTCTGCTACTCTAATGCTTTTTACTGCATTTTGTGTTAATGCTGTTGAGATGCCCAAAGGAATCGCTTCTTATTGGCTCTTTCATTCTGAGAAATTATCTCTGTAACTGAGGCATGATAGTCCACTTGGGGACTTGGGGAAGTAAGAGGCAGATTTAATCACACCTGCAGAGCGCCGGGCGGTAGAAAGGGCTTCGTTACGCTCATCCAATGGCAGCAGAAGTGGCTGAAGCGACTGACAAGATGCAAGAAAATCTTCATTAGTAACATAGCTCTCCTTGGGATATTTTCATGCTTGTTTATGGAAGACTGACTTTAATCCCCCAAAAGTCAAAAGCAAACATTCTCCTTGAAAATGTTCCAGGTTTGTAGTAATTATCTGCGTGTTGCCCCTGCCTCTGGGCTCTTCCTGGCAGTGAGTGTGTGGGACAGAAGGGCATTTCTGGAGAGCAGGAGATCTTGGCAGTAGGAGGAGCAGGATGAGGTGTGAATGGTTGATATATGTAAATAACAGTTCCTTCTGCTGAAAGTGTCCTCTTCAGAACCACAGTCAGGGAGGAATTTGCAATAGTTTAGGTGTTGGTGCCAGTTGTAATTTTTATGAGCTTAAATCGAGACACGTCTGTCCCGCAGAACATTGTGCAGGGCAGGGTTGAGGCTTTTGAATGTGCCAACACCACTGCTTTGCCCAAAACCCATCAGTGCGGTTTTGACAGCGTCAGAAATTATTTCTTCAGGCTGATTTATATGGCTAGGAAATGTTCTGACAGGTCCAGCAGTTCCGTACGTGCGCGGGGGGTGTGGGAAGGGGGTTGCTGGCTCTGTTGACCTTTGGCACCTCACTGGTCCCCACAGAGTGCAGCTTCAGCGGGCGCGCTCGGGGTCCTTGGATCCCTGCAGCCTGTCAGGGGACAGAGCTCTGCGTTTGGGCAGTGCTTTCATCTCTCACAAGCTGTTTTCAGAACGCGCAGAGCTTGCCAGAAAGCCAACCGTCCACACTTTGAAGGGGAGACATACAGGAATTACAGTTACCATGTTCTGTGGACAGCCCTCTGGATTTTGTGCAGTGTTGGTGGCTGGAAGCTGGGAACCCCTATTCCCTCCCAGCTCTCCTCGCTCCAAAATCAGCCTCCAGCTTGCCTCCAGTAGAACAGTTCTCTGAGAAGTCAATGACTTCTCCTGCTGTATCAGTGACAATATTACTTGGGCTCAATTCTACGTTTTTTTTTCCTCTGTTTAGTAAAATACTTTCCTGTTGTTGCTATGATAATGAGCTGCTCTGGATGCTACAGGATATCCTAAAATCTTGTGTGTAGGCCACGTGATGTCACAGGGAAGGAACATCACCAGATTCAACTCTTTCGGTGAAAAAGTAGTAATTTGTCCAATGTCATTTGGGACACGTAACTGTGTTTGAATACCGTATAAATACCATATGAAATACAGACCAGGTTTTTGACATGGTCATAACTTGCACGAGCTATCATGTAGTTAAAATATATGATGATATAATTTTTAGTGTAGTAACACCAGAGCTGGGAATTCAGGCATGCTTAAAATGGTAATTAGCAAATTTCTGTTGTTGTCAATCCATATTTGGGGAGATCTGACAGTTTTGTTCATTCTTTTTCTGCCTATGTGTATGTTAAGGCTGTTGGTGTATTATTCAGCTATTCCTATAAACTTGGATGTAAATCTCTTGTGCTCTTTGGGTTTCAAAATCCTTCACCATCGATCTGGAAAGCTTTAAGTCTGCTGAAATTGGAGCGCAGTCAGTGCGGGCGAGGAGCTGCGTCCTCATGCTTGTGCCAGTTGCCCAGAGCCAGGACTCGTGGCCGTTCCCTGTTCCTCCTGCTCGCTGCTGGGGCCCTGGAGGCCAGCCAGCGTGGCTTGGCGGTGGCCCACAGCACCCTGCGAGTCCGGCATCACTGCAGGCTGGGCGGAACGGGGAACGGGAAGATCTGTCTTGGTATTTGCTACGGTTTGGACAAAGAGCACTATATAGATGTTATTTTACTGTTCATGCCACTAGACATTAGCTTGGGGAACATGCGTGCTGCTATTGCTTTAAGGTGGCCAGTGGCCACTTAGCTGTGCTCAGCACCGCCTCTGCCAGCTCCGGCATCGCGGCACGTGCTCTCAGCTCAGCAGTGGCTGGAAGGTTCAGATAGGACCAGATTTGGCATCAGCATAATCGCTTCTGTGGGCGTCGTGCTTTGGATGTTGCCAGCTCCTCGCTGTTTCTTCTTCTTCCAGCACGTGGTATTTTATATGACCCTGAGGATAAACAGTTGCCTACTAGACAAACTTGTGGTTTTTTTGGTTTTTTTCCCTCAGTTTTGTCAGAGCCCAGGTTTTCAGTTGCAGGGGAGCACTGGGCAATCCGTGTTGGGTTTGCCCGCTGTCCTGCCGGCGCTTTCGCTGGCCGGGGGGGTGTGGGGCGGCAGCAGTGCAGCTGGCTGCCGTTGGTGTTCCAGTGACACGGGCTGGCGGACGGAGCTCCCCAGCTGGTGAAGGGGGTGCTTATCTAAGAGAGATAGGGTTGTGTAGCCTCGCCTTACCACTTGGTGCAAATTCTCCTACTCAAACGCAGGTGGAGGTTTTCAAAGCCCCAGTGTTACGTTCGTGTTCAGCCGATGCCTTGCAAGCGTACAGCAAAGGAAGGTGAATCGCTCCCGTGGTACACTTTGATCTTAAAGTTCAGTATTGCTCCTTTTCTCTAAGTGGTTTGTCAGACAAAATTTCTTATTCACCGTATTTGAAGATCTTGCCCTCAATGTCAGAGGCAAGGCAGTTGAAGGAGATGCAATTAGTGTTCCTCCATCTTTGAAATATTTGATTTGACATAGAATATTTTGTAGACCCATAAATGTATTTTTGTAACCCCGTACAACATCGCAGTGGCTGTTACTACAGTTGTACTAGCAGGTGGGGCCCCAGGGTTTTCTGGTTTTGTTTGTGGGGTGCGTTTATTTTGTTTTGGGTTTTTTCCCTCCAATAAATTGTGGACATTTTTGACTAGTACAGATTAGTTCCTCAAATGAGCCATGGACAACCTTTCACTGCAACTATGGGTGTTTTCTTGGTGTCAAAAAACTTGCTGTGAACCATACAAGCAATTTTTGTGCAGATGAAATTTTGTTATCACTACTGAGAACATAAGTTGAAATTTTGATTCTGTGGAAGTTATGATGGGTATATTAATATCTGCTGCATGATTTCTCTGCTTCCAACCATACTCTTCTTAAGTAAAAATTCACCCCTTTTGAATAAAAGCTGGCAACTGACTGGCATAAAATAAACAGGGTATTTTTAGAGACAGACAGTGTAGCTTTTCCCATAGTATGGTGGATGCCTATCACTAATGCACCACTCGTTTGATGGGATTCGTGTGGCTAACGAGTTGTTTATAGTAGTTTGGTAAATAAGGGCTTTTGCATAGTCAGTGCACCAGGAGGAAAATGCTGAGAAGTTCCCATCATGATCTGGGATATTTTTCTTAGAATACCATCACACCAGCTACTCCTGGTGAAGGATGAACAGTGTTTTCAGCATTTCTTAATCATCGCTGCCTATAGAAAAGTTCTTTTTATTGGAAGTACCTACCTGGCCACTGTGAACGAAAGTCCCTCGGGGAGAAGAGCTGTCAGTGGTGGAGTACAGTGGCTCTAAGGTCTAGCTCAGTAAGCACGAGGTTACCGTGTGCCTTATTTTCCCAAAGAAGGAGATGCTTTGGGATCGATTAAACTCTTTCCAGTCTGAACGGCAGCGTAACCTTTCTTTTATGCATTTTAGGGCTCACACCATGTGAAAAGTCACATATGCTGTCTGTGTGACTCCAGGGTGCAGGCTTGGGGTAACGTTATGTATGTTCTTGAAATGAAAGGGTCTTGCGGCGCTGGCAGGGGTCAAGCGCAGAGGTGTGTCCAGCTGCAGCTCCTAGGCTCTGTGCAAAGGGGAACGCTCTGTTTTTCTCAGTCTCCCTCCAAGTCTTTGGTGGTGAAGTGGCTTCTACCCGGTGCTCTAAGCAGCCCTCTGCCGTGTGCTGTTGGCACAGCCTGTTTCCAAGTAACTGCTCCACGCTACTAGAGCTGGCTCGCTTTCGTTGTTCAAGCCTCTCCCTGTCCCTGAGCCAGCCCCGTGGCCGCTCCGGGCCGTTGGGGCAGCGTTAGCACTGCGCCGTGGCTGCCATCGGCCGAGGCACAGGCCAGTGGATGCGGCTCGCCCGGTGCCCCGAGAGCCGCCAGCCCGACACCCGCGCGCTGGGTTCAGCGGGTCCAGAGTCCCCGGCTGGCTCCTGCCTGCACGATCGGGGTGCGAGAGGAGAGGCGGCTCGCGGAGGAGCAGGGCTCTTCGGGTCGGGTGTCTGGAAATGGCCTGAGGTGCGGTTGGTGTCTTAGGGAGGTGTCTGCGTGCCTCGTGTGTGCCTCGCACTTCTCCCTGACCCGGCTCGACCTGG